GCCATACACAACGCTGCTGAGGAGCAGCAGGACAGATTTGCCCGGCTGTACAGTCCCGCTCCCTCTGGGCTTCCCACATGCCACTGGGGTGCCAGCTCTGCGTTTGTCCCGACAGCGAGGCAGCGCTCAGCGCTGCCCAATGCTGGGGTCCGCACAGCTCAGTGCTGGACGGCCACGCTAGGCTGCGGCTTTTGTACACCATGAGAGCTGGGAGGTGAACCTTGGGTTTTCCATGCAGAAGTGAAGCTGAACAAGGTGCCACTGCAACACCACCAGAGAGCCAGGAACAGACTTTGTCTACCTTGAACGCTGCGTTTCCCTGCTCTAGGTGGGGACTGCCATAACGGGGATGCTGCAGAACTGAGCTGCAGAACCGCAGCCCTCAGCCTGGCCTCCCCACAGCACATCCCTGTGCCCAGGTGGCCTCCAGCAGCAGCAGGGCCTTCATCACCCAGGAGGACCAAAAACCAAACGCAGGGGATCAAGAAGTGACACAAAGGGAAAAACAAGTCTGATTTTGCAGAGGAAGAGGGGCCTACAGCAGGCAAGGTGGGCAGCTCTGGAAGCAGAGGGTCGGGAGCAGCGCAGAGATCTGAGCAGGGAACCCACAGCCAGGCACGCTCACGGATGAGCATCCGTCCCTGCTCTCATGGCTGTGGTGTATCCCTCGTGCCTGAGGGTTACTGCACCCCAGGGTGCCCAGGCAGCAGCCCCCCACCAAGGCCAGAGAAGCTACCACAAAAATCACACACTCCTGAAAAGCTGTTGCAATCTCTTTTCTACAGTTGGGTCTTAACTCTAAGGTCTTAACAGCCTCAAAGACAACTCTATTGCTGCCCGTAGTACTCAAGGACACTTTAAAATACCCATGTTTCACTCTAAGTAGATGAGATAGATTGCTGTGTTAATTCTGTTTTAGCAGTAACTTTGCCTGAATTTGAACCAATCTGTTTTATCGGAGAGAGGCAAGGAGGTTTAGAGGCAGCTACTCAAAGCAGCTCCTTCAGCACAGCCCAAGGGTTTCCCTCACAGCAGCAGGAGTTGGATTTGAACCAATCTGTTTTATCGGAGAGATGCAAGGAGGAGGTTTAGAGGCAGCTACTCAAAGCAGCTCCTTCAGCACAGCCCAAGGGTTTCCCTCACAGCAGCAGGAGTTGGTTCCTCTGGCAGAGGACCCTTGATGTACGTACAGCCCAAAGGGCAACGCTTCTGTGCGCTGAACTCCAGCTCATGTGAGAAAAAGAAAAAAAAACCCAACACAAAAACCCAGTGTGTCCTGGCCAGGACCTGTCCCACCATCTGCTTGGCTATCCTTACAAAGCATTATTACCCATGAGAGTGATGGCATTACTAAATAGGCAACAATTTAAAAATTAATTTGGATTTGCATATCAAAATGACTGGAAGAGATAGAAGTCAGGCACAAAATGTTTACGTATCAGTAAAATGTAATCAGCTCGTACATGCAAAAGTCTGTAACATTGATTCAATGAAAGGAAGGGATGTACAAGTCCAGATGCTTTACTACAAAAAAGCATATGCAGACGTCAGGAGGAAAGCTTTTGTGACAGTTTTTATCTATGTAAAGTTGTAACTATCTCAAGTATTCTCTGATATAGCAGATGTTAAAATTAATTTCCTCTTGAGATTCACAGTCTGACATAAATTAGTCAAATTGGCCAGGAACCATGAAGAAAATTTCTGAAAAAGAACCACCGTGGTGGGAGACCAGATGTAAAATTAATCTTTCCTGTGGTTTACTTCAGTGAAAGAAAAACTTGGCTTTACCGAATTCTTATACTGGCAGATCTACAAATATGAGAAGCATCTTCTGTATTAGTGTATTAATGGAAGTGTTGTATGTTTTACTTTTTTTATAGACTCAATAAAATTCAGTGCTGCATTGTACTTATTAGCACTGTTTAGACTGCCTCACATACGAATAGTATTACCTCTCAATAAAAAAAATGTAAGTTACAAAATGAATCAGTGAAAGTTTTCTGCTAAAAACTTATCCAAAAGTGAGCAGAAAAAAAGCTTATCTCTATTTCAACACATTACCTCCTAATGTGGCATATAAAATTATCAAAGATGATTTCAGAGTGACTGAAAATAACAGTATCCTTTGATAAAGTTTACTTACAAGAGTAAGCCATATTTCCAGTTTCCTGCACAGCAAAACTGAGGCCCTGAGAAATTAAGAGTTAGGTTTAAACTCACAGAAGTAAGTCTTCCAACTCCCTGCTGTAAGCAGTAGATTGCATTGCTATGAATTGATGTGCTTTAGTCATTTCATAGGTGCACTGGATAAAGCAGAATCACACATTTTTAAAGCCTGAGACTGCAATAACTTCATTGCTATTGTATGAGACATCAAATTCAGAACTAAACTGAAAAGAAAAGCAAAAGAGCAGGTTTACCTTCTGCTATATGGCACAGAGCAAATACTATCTTAAGTATTTGCTTAATATCTACTATCTTACTATCTACTAGCTTAAGATGGCTAACTGAAGGTGGTCGTATGCGACTGCACAGAAACTTTAACTTACTCAGAGGTTTAGAAACAGGAGGCCTTGAAGGACATTCACCAGTTGGACTGATGTGCAGTGACAGAAGTATGACTGGCTCACCCAGTCACATTTTAATCCATTCACCAGCCTCTGCCTAAACAATCAGTTAACACTTCAGTTCATGACTGTAACAGAGACATTTCTATGTGTCTGAAAAATTACATCAGAATTCACAAACTGGCATCGTAAGATGATGAACAGCAAATGCTTCGTTCAGTTAACGGTGATCATAATTCAATACATTTACTCTTCAGTAACATGTATTTTTTAAACGTGTTCAGATGGGGGCAGGGGAACCAATCAGGAACAAAGCACAAAAAGAAACCGTTAACACTAACCTCCCTACAAAATACGAAATTTGCATTCGCTTCCAATTCAGAGTGCCTGATGACATGGCAAAACTTGCCCGTATGCCTTGCTACCATTTCTAGGGTACGCTGTGATTCACTCATCCTATTTCTTATTCTCCCTTCGAGCATCTGCCATTGGAAATGGTATAAATAATGCTTCAATTGTAGCTTTGGAGTTGACCCAGCCTAACAGTTATTCTCATTACTCACTCTGATATAAATACAGCTTACGTATGGGTTTGGGATGAGGCAGATCCAGCTATGTCTTCTGTAATGCATCCCCATCGGTTTCAGTTTCTTACTTCCCAAGCCTGTCACAATGCAAGTGAGAAAACGAGCCTAATGAACAAGCAGTTCAGCCAAGCAGAACACACCGGTTGTTACCCAGAAACTCTGGCCAACCTGCAGCGTTTCAGAAGGAACTTTGTACAGATGGTGCGAATTGAGAAGAGCATCACTTTAGGGGGAGAAAGTAGAGTTTGAGTTTAGCTCAGCAAGCTGACCATAGCCTCTCCACTTGTACCAAGATGGTGCAATTTTGTTTTAAAAGTCATTTGCTTATGCCAAAACCGCATCCTCTCAGAAAACCAGGTACTGTCCTGCCTGCCAGAGAGGCAGCTCAAACCGCTATTCTGCAAGATGAAGAGAAATCAGGTTGAAGTCTTGTACAAAATGCAACTAACTTTAGATCTTATATTTCCAAGTATCAGAGCATTCAACTTCCAAAGCACACCTAACAAAATAAAAATGTTTAAAGGCAACAAGAAATGACAGCAGTCAGCACCTTACAAGGAAAAAAAAAAAGCTCCTTCTGGGAACATACACATTTTTATAAGGCTAATCAGCACACTAAACAAAGGACCACTAGAAGTCAGTATTTAGACATTTATTTCAGATATGCAGTTTACACGCATATTATTGAGCAAAACTGAATTGCAAATATACAAATACTGTAACAAGCATTACCAAATAACATAACTGGCACTAGTGTTATAAGCATATTACTGAAACTGGTGAGGATAAGTCATGGAAGAGGACTGCAGCTCATGGCAATTTTTTTTTTTACCCAACCAAACTTCCAGTAGCACCATAATGGTAATACATGAAACACAAGACAGAACATTGTTAACTGTTTCTGATATTCACAATTATTTTTTTTTTTTTCATTTTAGTGAATTACATAGCAAAAACATGTTAACAGTGCAGGCGCTTTGGCCAACTTCAGCTTGTGTTCAGCTGTACATCTTCCATATGCAAAAGAAAAAAAAAAGCCAGCATATTTGGAACCCATCTTTGCATTTGGGCAGTCATTGCACTGCACTTTTTGATTCTGGGACTGAAGATATGCATGTCTTGCAAAGAGATGTCATGTCCACTAAAGCCTGAGTGAGTCTTTGGTAGGCTAATACTTCATTATTATTATACATTTATCTACCACAGTCATTTTATTCCCTAGAATTTTCTTTTGTGATCCAAGGTGGCCAAAGAGGACATTCTGGAAAACATTACAGTAAAATCCTCAAACGACCAGGCACTTCAAACCCAGTCTTTTCCGAAGGCACCAAGAATTGGTGGGGCACTGTTTTTCCCCCCTAACGAAAGGTGACTGCATCTGTTTTTTCTGCAATGCTTATAAATCACTGGATTGTTATTTTACAGTTTTTATACACTATATAGTAGCCTTATCTGCTGCATGGTGGGTTGCATGAATAAATAAGTAACCCCACTGTTCTTCACAGGTGATGTCTCCATTCCACCATATATTAAGTACCAATTTCTTCTGTTTCAAAATTATGTAAAATGCCATAACCTTGCTCAAAGTGTACACACATACAAACGCTTCTGACACAGGCTACATCCATCAGAAGATACGCGGTTCATTCTACATGCATTCTAAATAAAGTGTGTCCAGTTATAAAACAAAATTATCATTACGAATATTCACTGTTGAAATATGTTTGTATAGGTCTCCGCAGAACTTTTGCTTCCCTTAAACAGAGTTCACACAAGAACAGTTTTAAGTCACTAACGCTCAGCTAACACCCATTTATCCCAAACCCCATATTTTCCAAGTGAACAGTGCAGGACATATTATTCATTTCAGCATTTAACATATTAAGAATTTACCAATTTGTATCTAAATACACCAAGTATATGCTTTCAAGCAAAGTTGTGGCAAAAATACAAAACATGGACGTATTTGTACTGCTGTAATGCACTTGGTTAAAGCCTTCATGTCTCTTCACACAGGTCTAAGATCCATATGAAGTATTTTGCCTTATCAGACAAGTATATATAAAATGCAGTTGTATCAAAACCTTGCTTCTGCTGGTCACCTGAAACTTAGGAAAGTTGCATGTAATTCAACCAGCTTTCAGCCAGGGTTCTTTAGTGGTAAATATATTTTCGCAGCACTTATAGACTTAAATTTCAGTCTGAATAGCAGTGCTTAATTCCACAGCATGTTGCGAATGGTTGTTGTTTGTTTCTTTCAGTGTTTCACCAACGCCTAAATCTACATCTGTCAAAGATCCATTATTAATGCTTTCCTCAGCAATGTAACTCAGCTGTGGAACATCAGTGCTTGGGGCTGTTGGAACAGGCACAGGGATTCCACTTGGCTGTGGAGAGTTTTCCAAGCGATCATTTTCCACCTCTGGGAGAACACTGACTGTGGTAAAGCGAGTATGATAGTCGCTGGAACCGTGGCTACACGAAGTTTTCATACTTTCCATATCTGAGCAACTAAACTCAGAAAAATGACTCGAGTGAGAATCTGCTACAGACGGAATACTATCGCTAAGAGAGGGAGAGTCAAATTCACTGGAGTTTGTGCTTTGTTGTTCCAACAGCTGAGCATCCATGTCCTCTCTTGTCTCATTTATCTTCATGCTACTCTTCTTTCTCAGCTTACCTTTACATTTTTTTCCCGCTGTTGTTTCTTTGGACCACTTGGTGGCACCAGATTTACTTTCCGGCAAGCAGGCGGATGAACAACCGGCATTACTACGACCTGCAGCACTGCCATCATCAACACTACTGCTTCCGCTGTTGTGTCTGAACTTGGCTGGCTTTGATTCAATATCCACTTGCACTTCCATACTGTTGCCTTCCCTAGAACAGGAAAGAATCCCTGAGTGTAAGTGGTCATCTAAGACAAGCCAGCTAACTCGGCAAAACAAACTCTTGCTGCTTTCCAAGATACAAACCAAAAAAAGTTAGAAAGATGTAATTTGTTTTAGAGAAGTTAAGTGTTTAACCAAATAAACAGCTCAAAGAAAAACACAAAGTTTGAAAGATCAAACACTTCACTGAGCTACAGCAATGGTGTTCCTCTTTGGAAATAACCTTGGCAAAATGTAAGCAGTCACATGTAATTCAATTTTTAACAAAATTTGCAGTTTCAAAGGGTAATTATTAAAGTAGAACAGCTGAGGCATGCTTAGAATATCTTTAATAAGCAAGGCTTATTCATCTTCTGTTTTCACCACATTTCTCTTACCTGTCTAAAGGGATGTAGGAGTTCAGAATGGATCCTGCCATTGCTTTGGTACTGGCATTGTCACTAACTGTTCCCAAGCTAACTGTGCCAGATTCTCCACTCAAACTGTATCGTTCTTTCTGGACATCTGCTTGTACTTCCAGTCTTGGAGAGAAACAAAAAGAGTTGCATAAATTGCTACTACAGTTAAAGCACACTAGTTGAAAATTAATGTCACCTTGTAGAGTTTCTCCACCCTTCAGTAATAAGTAGATTTTATTTGTTACTCCAGTACAGATGAGCATATTTACTCTAAGGAAACAGGTTCTCTCTTCTCACTGTCAAGAATGACTATTTTTTTTTAAATCAAAACCAAACAAAAAACCCAAAACACCCCAAAGCAAAACCAGATTAATTTCCCAACAAAGCTAAATGTTGCGTGTTAACCAGAGGTTCTAGATTCTTTCCTCCCTGAGATTTACCAAACAACTTCCAGGCTTAGCTACAATTCTTTTGCAAATAGTGTACTGTATTCTAAAAATGGAAAAAACAATCAGAAGGGTACATAAGTTCAAGACATGATAGTTCCCACGTTCCTCCAGCTGCAAAATTATTACTAATCAAATAACAGGCAAAGAGCTGTGTTCTGTACTCTGCTTTATATTGTGTTGTTATCAGCTGCAACAGGAATAATAGAAACCTGAGCAATCTTAAGTTGGGCTAAGCAGATAAGCCAGAAATCAAATTATAATCTTTTTTCCAAATGCCTTGTTTATCTATGTTCTGACAGTGTACTGAAAGTGGTTTTTTGTTTTCCACTCTCAGCTCTTTAAAGAGGATAGGTATACCTCACTCGCAGCCACAGCTTGAAACACCTGCCCCAGCATAAGGGAACTCTTGATGCTGTCCTGCACTCCTCATTCTATATAGCCTGGACTTCCAAATTACTCAGGAAAATGAGCAGTGTTAACACCTAATTTAAGGAGCAAATTCTATCCTGAACCCTAAATATTAACAACCCTTTCCGAACACTCCCTTCCTCTCCAGGGTGCAGGACAGCCAATGAACTGTAAGGTCCCAATTCACAGGAGGCACCGAGCACTTAAGTGACAAGCAGTTGCCACCTCAGCAAGGCCAGGTGCCCAGCTGCCTCCCCTCCTGCCTAAATCCATTTTGAATCCACACTCCCCCAAGGTGTTCTGAAGGCACAGCATGGTACTTGTAGACTACTGAACAAGTCAGCAGCTCTGACTTTGGGGAAAGACGCACCAGAGAACACGACTGTGCTAGACACGAGGTGCCTCCCTCTGACTCCTGGGAAGCAGGAGAAGAAGATCTCAGGTCTCACTCACTCTGAAAAAAAATTAAACTCTTCTTTGAGGATTGCTGTCTGGCACGATCTCTTGGAAATCAGCAAGTTTGTCAGAGACGAACTGTGTCTATCTCCCAGAGACAGTTCCTTTTAATAGGAACCAATTTTAAAAAATAAAAAAACCCTTGTAATACCACTTCCTCTGCTTACATGTAGAGCAGGATACTGTACAGTAGAAAGCATGTCTCTTACCTGTTAAAGCAGTTAACCATTGCACTTCCTGAGAGACTCCCTGTTATACTAGCCCCAGCCAGGGCCATGGTGCTTGCGGTTTCACTTAGGTTGTCTCGAATGGCTCCTATTCTATCCATGTGGCTACCACTTGCACTCAAGCTGCCAGTCAGTCCTCCAACGCTTCCTTCACCTATACTAGGGTTATGACGTGCCTCTGCTACTGAAGTGGTATCTAGACAGAAATAAAGGCGGCTTGTCAGTTATGGAAGTAGAATTTAGTAGTTTGCAGAATGTGACCATGGAAACCATTCCTGAAATTATGCTGAGAAAAAGGATTTATAAAACATACTGTCACAAAAAGATAACTTTGTAAAAAAAAAAACCAAACAAAACAACAGACACCCCTTTCTCGGAGTTGCTCTAATGGTTATGCCTGACATCACATACTTAAGATATGAAAAAGTTAACCATGGATAGGACAGGTAACATAGAGTGAAGGAACACAGAGAGACCCTATCACAAAGGATATTACCACGCAATTAAAAAATAAAGCATCAGATCAGCATTTAGTTCCCCCTATTATAGACAAAAAAACCCAGTCAGCTTCCACAAACCAGGATTCTGAAAAAGCAGCATTAATTTTATTATAAAATTTTTACCTATGGAAAAGACTTGAGTCTGGCTTTGATTAAAATGGGCAAGAAAAGCTTTAATGGTTGTATTATAGCACAGAACAACAGTGAGTTGTTTGTAAGTCACAAAGCCCAATGAAACCCCCAATTTTCTTACCTACAGCCGCATTTGTTCCACCAACATTTATATCATTTTCATCATCAAATTCTATCCTGACACCTTTTCCATTGCCTGCTGACACACCACAGCCTCCACTTCGGCAGAGGGAAATTGGAACAACTCCATACACATAAGCCAGCATAATAGGAACACCAATACCTACAGAGGAAAGCACAGTCTTTCATTAAATGTGACTTGTATTTTAGAGCCCTTCATAAAAGCTATTTCATTTTCCATGATTATTTAATATTTCACACTTGAAAGAAATCAGAAGGGAGCAAAATTAAGAAATATTGGTAAATCACTAAGGTGAAATGACAGAAAAGTACTTTCAGCAAGCAGAGTGTCCTCTATCAGCACTGGTAGGCAGAGAAGCTTAATGCTTGATGAATTAGTACTTCTGGTACGTCCATAACATCTTTTACAAACAAAATGAAAGTACTTTAAAGGTTCATATAAGCTCCATTGGGGACTGTAATAACAGTCCACCTGAGAAGCAGAAATAGCAGAGATTGTATTTCAAATATTACTCAACTAAAAATGTTAGTACCTCTGCTAATTAAATAAGGGGCTTGATTTTGCATCCACTGAAGTCAGACAGGGCTTTGCTATCAATTTAATAGGACTTATTATTACTGTGGGATCTTTTGTATTTATTGTATCATTAAAATTTTTTAACTGAATCAGTGTGATACAAGTTTTCCTTAAAAGTAAACAATTCTGTGGAGCAGGGTGGCAGGAGTTAAGGGAAACCAGTGAAAGCAACTGTGGGCTAAAGCACACACAGATATACACACACACACACATCCATCCGACCACTTCTAGCGGACTCTGAAAGTTACTCCTTTGGCATACAAATGAAAACATTCTATGGCCTTACTGATAGAAGTACTGAGAAGGTACAGGAAAATGGTAGACTGAAAACCAGCAAACTGGCACATTCTGAAAAAGCCAGGACAGAGGCAGACCCAATGCAAAGGCTCCTCAGCGTAACTTAGAGGAAGGGTTCCAGTTATAGGAAGTCCCTTTCACTAAAAACTCCTCAGCATTCGAGGAGGAAATCCACATTCTCAAGGTTAGTTATTTTGGAAGCCATATAATGCCCTGAGACTGGAGGCCATGGGTCAATGGCAATGGGGCAAAAGCAAAAACTCCACAAAATAAAACCCAACTGCTTTCCCTAAAAAGCCAAATTTTATCTCTGGTCAGGAATAAGAAACAGCTTGAAATAATGAGGTAAAGCAGGCCTATAAACACATCTCTGAGCCTGTGTGTCCCACTACCTGTTTAGCAGGTATGTGACACCACAGCTATATGAGAACAACGCAATGCAGACAGAGACAGTTTTATGGCTAGCGTATCTGCATTTGCACAGTGGTCCACCACTGCTCACAAACAGTTTAAAGCCACAGCTTCATGGCCAGTTTAAACTGTCACTTGCTAAAAGCGGCCCTGTCTTCCTGAGGCCACTCATTCCTTTGAGTATTACTTCTGACACAAGGGGGAACACTGCATACACAAGTGGGCGTTGAATTGGATCAGGGGACTGATCCAGATTAAAACTAAATGGTGGGTCTTAATGTGAATCAGTTGTCCATGGCAGCTTACTGTGCAACTGTAAAGATGCCTGTGCTGCAAAAAAGGAGAAGCAAGGCAGCGCTGGGCAAGTCCACTCCTTTCAAAAGAAATTACGGCTTGTTTACAGAGATCTTGAAATTACATGGTAAGATGAGACAAGTATTTTGTAACGTACAGCCAGATTTTCCTCTAATACTATCCTCAACAATCCCAATAAGAAAGAATGTGATAGAATTCAAACTGACTGCCAGAGCATAATAAATAGTTTGTCAACTACTGCAATGTTAAGTGTAAGAGACTCTGTTTTTCTTCTGTGTTGGGAAAAGTTTGACATGAAGTTATTCAAATACAAATAGACCCTGGCAACAGTTTTTTCTTGGTCACTTTTAAAAGCCAGATATGACAATGTGGAAGCTTAAATTTGCAAGATAAGAATTATTTTTAATTCTTCATTTTAATGCAGAATTTCCTGAAATATTGTATTCTCCATTCTGCCCCAATAAACGTATAACCTGAGACTCCCCATTGTCTCAGTTCCTTCACCTACAGATGGAAACTAGAGGACTTATCTCAGCTTTTTTATTCATGAGTGCTTAGAGAGTTGTGGTTGCAAGGTGCTACCAATACACAAAATAGTAATATTTGCTTACCTACAGTTACTGCAGCGACAACTGGAGAAACGATTACAGATAAGGTTACACCACCTGCTATAGCTAAGTTTCGCTTGTGCTTTGAAATGTCTTTGCCTTCATATCGATTGTGAATCTTGAGAGAAGACAAGAAAAAAGGGTTTTTAGAGTATTATTATCATCAGTAATACATTGCTGCAAGGATGAAAGAACTGATATATAGTCTGGAAGCTGTACCCTGCTCTCTTCCAGAGAGACCACATTCTACGTCACAATTTATTCCTTATCTCAAAGAAAAGACAATTTATACATTTCTTAGTTTTAGACAACTTCTTAAAAGTTAGAATTCTTCCCATCCAACAACTAAGCATTCTCTTTCAGCCTCAAGTTAGAAGATCTAAATCACTGAACAGCTTTTTTTGTTTCTTTAATCACTACTCCAGCTTACATGGTTGGGAAAAGTAGACAATTTTCAGGATCAAAAATTTACCACATCTGATCAAACTGACACTTTTTATTTCCAGCCATCTTTCCCCTAAACAATACAGAGTGAAACTTTCACAGAGTATTACATCTATGGAAACAGAGGCTGTCATAACAGAGCCATGAAAATCTTGCAGTAAGGTAGCCTTCACCAAACACAGCCTGGGAGGAGGGGAGAGCAAGAACTCCATTGCTCTGGCACCCTCTCATGACAAGCTGTTGAGACAGGAAACGTTTTAGCAAACCTGAGTCTTAGCTCTGCTACTATTTACCAAGGAATCTGCTAATCAAAACCCTTACTGATGGTTCACGTCTGCAATAACTCTGAAACGTGACTGCTGCAAAATACCTGCTGCAAAGACCACATGAACCTGAAAGGCCTGCAAAGATCACTGTTTTAGAGAGATTTATCACTTTTTGTGTGTTTCATTTACTCTCTAGGAACATGGTTTTTCAGGGATACGCACTTCATCTGTCATCATTCTTGGTTAAGATATAATTACAAAGGAACAATAGGTCGCTATCTTAATGGTTGTCATAAGGCTAAGTTAATCCTCACTACATCTAAGGAGGAACACAAAAGAGTACTAAGGATAATCACAATATTTTTCTATCAATATGCCACTGCAAAAAGAATGAAAAAAACTGAGCTACAAGTTTTATTAAATGTTGTGCTTTCTAAATTATAATTTCAATTAGAGATTTGGTAGGGTAGTTCTCATTTTGGAATAAAATTATTCATATTTGTTCAGGCAAGACAGGCAATGAAAGGGCAGAGAAGACACTGCACTTTTATATAAAGAGAATGCATTTACTTGCTCTGAGGTACACTGTACAAAGAACAGCACAGAATGAGGGAGCACTTGAATGTAAAACTTATGGATTAAAAAGGAAAAACTGAACATGAACACTCTCACAGTATCTGTGTGTAAGAATTACAAACCCAAGAAGATCAAGTTTCACAGGGCTCTGAGCAATTAGCAGGATGATCTCAGGCACTGAATTTTACTGTTATGGGCAATTTTAACTACTGAAACAAAAGACATACAACAAAGACATCTATAAAGGCTATGGGATTCCTTCAATGTAAAGCAACAAAATGCAATGGAAGGGAGTGGTTACAGAGAAGAAACTGATCGAAAACATCAAGATAGAAGGTTACACAGCTAGGAATGACTATGAAATAGGAGACTTCAAAATACTGAGTAAAGAGTATCTAAATAAAAACACTGGGCCAGAAGAAGAGGGATTTCAATAAACACAGAAAACTGGTACAAGACTTGTATCTACAAAAAGAGAGGACTATCACTTCCTTAAGGAAACTCTATCAAAGCACAAGCACAAACTCTTCCAACACAGAAGAGAGTGTTGTAAAAGAACAGTCCAGCGTCCTTTACCAAAGCAGCAGCAGCAGCATTAACAAAATAGAAAGTAGGTCAGATTACTATCAATGGGTATAAAGGAACAGCATGAGGGTGTCAGGACAAAACCAGAAAGGTTAAAATAGAGGAGACAAAAAGCAAGGGACATCAAAGTCAACAAGAAACTATTCTACAAGTACACTTCTAGTAAGAGGAAGACCAAAATGGATCAATTTGCTATTTAACAAAAAAGAAAGACAGCCAGCAGATGAAACTGGAGGACTGTTCAATTTTTTTCCCTTCAGTTGTCACTAAAGATCAACTGTGAGCCAGGTGACTGGTGACAAAGGAGTAAGGTCTGTAGGAAAACAGCAGGTTAGAGTGTACTTATTTGAGCCGATACAAAAAAAATCTCAGCAGGCCCAATTTCAGAGCTATTAATAATAATTTTTTTAAATTATTCATAGAAGATGTCTGAAAAAAAAATCCAGAAAATTGGAAAAAGTTAAACTGCAATGATAATCTTTAAAAAAGTGTAAAACAAGAAGCTAGGGAATTAAAGACCAGTGAACTGAACTTTAATTTCCTGAAAACCGGGAATTTGTAGACACCAAAGCAAATGCAGGAAATAAAGAGGCCAAAATGATTATTTTTTTTTTTAAAAAGTAGAAATCACGTCAATTTAATTTTCTTCTGTGACAAGAAAACAAGCTTTGAGGATGGGGAGAAACAGATGTCATGCACCGACTTGAATAAAATTTTGACATTCTCTTCTACAACACTCAAACAGGGTATAATGGTTCAGACTGAAAAATGGACTAATCTACTATAAGCTTCATGTAAAACTGACAGAAAACATCTGAGTTGTCATTAGTTTTTTTACTGCCCAAATTGAAACCCTTCACCCTATACCTTTTCCAAGAGGTATGCCCTGGATCCAAGAGTATTCAACATTTTCATTAACCTGGAAGATGAAAGAAGAAGAATGCGTGTGTTGAATTTCAGGCCAATGCAACCTTGCCAGACTGTAAGAATGCCAGAACTCAAAGAAGTCTTGAGAAGTTGAAAAAATGGCCTGAAATGACTAAGATGCAGCACAATGGTAACGAGTTCAAGACTAACCTTAGGAAAAAGACCAGTTGCCTAAATTACCAGTACGGTGGCAAAGGGCATGTATTTTAATGTATACAAAATGAAAATAGCATGTTGTTGAGAAAGAGATAACTGGCAGTTACATGCACAGGATCATCCTTTCATTTAACTCACCAGTAGTAATGTTTCAGCTTCACTGCTGTATTCAAACTGGACAAAAACAAAGGTGGTATGAACAACTGGAAGGAAATCCAGAAGAGAAGATGAGAATCAGAGGTCTAAACCAGTATGTTTTCTTGACAGTTTGTCAGGACAAACTGGAAGTGCTAGGTTTGTTTAGAGATAAGAATGAAAGTGGACTTAAAAATCATCACATATGTAACGGGATATTGCAAAACAAAAGGATTTTTTTATGTCAGCTGAAGATAGGGCAATAAGAATTTAGTGTAGGAAGAGAATTTACACTCATATTAGAAAAATCAATTTTATTAAGAAAAATAGCTTTGGAGAGCCTGCGGAATCTCCATCATCAGAACTTTTGAAGAAAACTGCAGACATGTGACAGGAGTCACAGAAAAATGACCATTAAGCAGTGGAGTACAATGGAAATTCTCATGAGGTTGCCCTCACAGACTAATTTTCTGAGACTTTACCATTAATACATGAAAGGTGCTCAGTGATGGGCATCTATCTCAAAATCTAATAAGAAAAGCAGAACAGCAATAGTAATTTCAAACAGGTAACTGCCGCCTTCTTCCTCTTTTCATTTGTAAGATTCCAGTGACTGTATGGGACTAAGACAAAACAGAATAGAAGGGTTAAAGAACAACTGTAGCAGAAGGTAGGAGTACATGCTTAAAAGAAAAAGATGAAAAAGAATACAGTGGAAAAGCTGCATCCCTGGACTTTTTGTCTAGCAGCAACAGCTCATATGAGATAGAAACACATTCCCCCTCGCCCCAATAAATATAGACTTATGTGTCTGTCCCAGTCACTGTGAGAATCCACGCTGACAAAAGCAGAAAACCAAATCTTCTGACTATGCCATCCAGGACATGTAACTGAACACTTAGTACTTGCTGAACCAAGCTATCATTTTAAAAAGCCCTTTTCCAAAAGATCTGGGTAACTCACTACTTTATCCTAAATTACAAATAGGAGATGTAATTATCTTTTATTTTCCTTGCAATTTTTCCTTTACTTTATAATAAAAGCGATTATATTTTTGAGAGGAAATATATCAACTGCCTTCTGATTAACATGGTCCTTTCTAACTGATTCCCACAAACAGTAAAATGAAGATAGATGCTGTCTAGCTACCTGCACTGAACACTGCTCCACACAGTGGACTGGCCCAAGGGAATCAACAAGCCACTGAGTATAAATGCTTAAATGTGTGCATGCACAAACCTATACTAGCAGAATTTTATACTAAAATACTGGTAACTATCTGTTTTTAAGAAAAATAAGAAGGATTTCCTTTCTGTCTTCCTTCTCTAAATATTGTTTAGTTCTAAGGGACACAAAGGAAACCAAAAAAAAAAAAAAGAGTATTTTGAAAAAGCATGTGAGAACTTCCACAGCAAGATGCAGAAACTGGAAATTGTTCGGTGTTTTGTTCTGCCTGTTTTAGGAGGAACTACATTCTTAAAAAACACTGCTTATCCTTCCTGTACAATTGAAACAAATATCCTTAAACAATTCAGGGGTTAGTTGGGTTGGTTTTTGGGGGGGGGTTGTTTGGTTGTTTTGTTTTTTTAAAGGCTGGTGAAGATAGCCAACTGAACGTAATATTACCCAAGTCATACAATGCAGAAGGCAAAACCTGAAGTTTGTTAGGAGCTGCAGCACATTTTACCTTACGTCCCACATACACAGGAATTCCAATAATCATAGCAGGAATAGCAATGCCAGCTATTAAGGCAATTCCTACAGGAGCTCCAACAAGTGTCCCTAGTTGCCACAGTATTTTCTTCTTACGGCTCCATGGTTTCTTTCCCCAAAATGTGCAACCTGATGGGCTAATAGAAAGAAGTAAGAAAACTGTAAAGAAACTGTAAATAAATCAACATAACATACACTACTGAACTGTTCTCTAGTTACAAAATTATTGTTCTTATGTTCAAACTACAGATGTTATGGATACCAAATTATCAGTTATGATTTCTTCAGATTTTTTTTTTGCCTTTACAGCGTAATTTGTAATGTAAAGAGAAGTGTATTGCATATTACCACATGCCTATCTGTGCTTCACACGTAACTTATATAATCAGAGTTTTTGTATTTTTACTATGAAGACAATACAGCAGTATCAAGACAACAGTAAAAATAGTAGGTATGTTAATCTAAAACACTTCATTTGTTGTACTAAGTACACACTGCATGCATGAAACTTAGAAAAATATTTTAAAATAAAAAAATAACAAAGCATTAATTTAAATACATGCATTGAAAACTAACTTAATTTTCAGATATGGACACTTCAACTGTGATTCTCTACCACAACAGGAAGATGACTTACAGCTCCCAGGAATCTACTTCTATATACTTCAGAAAACAAAGTACCCATCACATAGATTATTTTTTTTTTCTTAAGTGTACCTTAAATAATGTAAATCTGAGATCTCTTTCATACATAGCCAACAGAATTCACAGCCACAGACAGCACAAGTCATATGATTGCAGCTTCCATCATTCATTTTTATGATATAAGCAGCACAGCGTGGGCATGGCTTTATGTCATCAGCTGTTTAAAAAATGAATATTGAGATCGTATCAGTTCCTTAGACAAGCAGATTTAATCAAAATATAGACATATATTTGGGAAAATTGATTGAACCATTAACTGAAAAATGGAAGTAGTTTATTACGTGTTTTCTTTATAAATCTTGATTTGGCAATGCCTTGATAGCTATTTGTATTTGTAAACCTTGGCCTGAGTAAAACTAAAACAAGGCATATTAAATCTCATTCCAGTAATTAAATAGTTAATGCATACACTCTGTTCATGGATTTTCTAAGCTTAATGCGATATATATTAGAGTTGGACATTAAATATGTATGTTAATACAGGACTGATAATATGGTCTCTTTAAATATAATTCTCTTTTACATCTCATGCTGTTATGAATCTTTTACTTGAATATTCAGTCTCCACTTACTACTTCTTATCTTAAATCTACGTCCCTTCCACTTTAAGTGCACTTCTTTGGTATCACCAACCTCGAGTCTTTTTCACAGCCCTACTTAATACTTACTTACTCCCTAGAAAAAAATATTGCAGCAAGAAGAAAATTCTGGAGGCTCTCCTTCTTCCCAAGTCAAACACTGGAAGATGCAGTTAAGTGACTAGCTCTATCATTAACAAACAAGGGGTCATTGAGCAACAATGAAATACTTGTATACTGACACAACCACAGTTGTCATCTTCGTTCCCTCACATTACTGTTAGCATCTGCACTTTGGGACAAGGTATTTACAGTAGCAGAAATAACTTGCAGGTCCTAGTGCAGAAGTCCAAGTTTACTGCCTCTGTGCCACTAGGCAGGACAAATGGAAAAGAGGGGTTGTACTTAGTATAAAGAATATCCAAAGAGGTGCAGAACCAGCAGAAAAAAGTACCTCTACCAACTCCAGTGCACAGGGACAGTGAGCAGCTGAGCTGGCTGGACAGTGAGCACTGGCTGTTCCCAGATGGGGACAGCTGCACAACTTACAGGGCAGGAACTGAACAAGTTCTTATGGCACAGCTATGGCAGAGCTACTGCTGTTCATGCTGGGAGGGACTGAAAGGGAACAGAAAGGAGCTGGTGTGCTAATTTATTTAAAGTTTATTTTAAAATGTATTTGAAAACTAGAGCAAGACACCAATTTTTAAGGCAAGATGGGGTGACTTGTTAAAATAAGCCAGTACAAATAATAAATTAGACACTCCCAAGTCTAGGGCTGGATTGGAGAAAAACAGCTCTAACTACATTCAAGGTG